TTTCCAGCTGTTATGAATAATGCTGCTATAAACGTTCATTTACACATTTTTGTGTGGAAATATATTTTCATTTCTCTTGGGTACATATACCTAGGAGTGAAATTGCTGAGTCACATGGTAACCCTATGTTTAATCTTTTGAGGCACTGCCAGACTGTATTCCCAAGTGACTTCACCATTTTACATTCCTACCAGCAATGTATGAGGGTTCCGGTTCTCTCCATGCTCCCCAACACCTGCTTTTATCTGTCTTTTTGATTATCGTCATCCTGATGAGCATGAAGAGGCATCTCATTGTGCTTTTGATTTACATCTCCCTGATAGCTAATGATACCAAGCAACTTTTCATATGCTGTTGGCCATTTGTATATCTTCTTGGGAGAAATTATCTATTGATATCCTTTGCCCATTTTTAAAATTGGGTTTTGTTTTTATTATTGGGTTTTTTTTTTTTAAACAGGCTTCATTCACTTTCTTTTCTTGTATAAAAATGCTATGTTGTAGCCACAGCTCGAGCCTGGGTCCTCTGCACAGAGACTCTGGTGTGGGTCTTGACAAGATGGTCAGTGAATTCCTGGTAGGGAGACTTGGTGAATACTGTCTCTTCCCAGGGTCAGGAGTCAGAGAGCTATAGGCCTTGGCGATGGCACCAGAAGCAGCCTTGGTGGCTGGGCACAGTGGCTCATGCTTGTAATGCTAGCACTCAGGGAGGCTGAGGCGGGAGGGTCACTCGAGGTCAGGAGTTCGAGACCAGCCTCAGCAAGAGCAAGACCCTGTGTCTACTAAAAATAGAAAGAAATTAGCCAGGCAACTAAAATTTAAAAAATTAGCTGGGCATGGTGATGTACGCCTGTAGTCCCAGCTACTCGGGAGGTTGAGGCAGGAGGATTGCTTGAACCCAAGAGTTTGAGGTTGCTGTGAGCTAGACTGACACCACGGCACTCTAGCCGAGACAACAGAGTGAGACTGTCTCAGGAAAAAAAGTGGCCTTGGCAAAGTTGCCGAGGGTGACAGTGCGGCCCCTGGCTGAGGTGTAGTGAGGTATACAGTCATCGATACAAGCCATCAGCAGCAGATTTTTGGGCGCAGGGGCTGAGACACTGCCCATTCTTCTAGGGGCAGGGATGACACGTACCAGCACAGAGCCACAGCAGCCTGTCACCTTGCAAGGAATGGTGTGAGGCTTGCCAATGTTGTCCCCCAGTAGCCTCTCCGCACAGGGACAATGGAATGTTTGGCCAGGTTGATGGCCCCTTGGATGGCAGTGGCTACCTCTTTGGAGCACTTAACACCTAGACCGACGTGGCCATTATAGTCCCTGATGGTAACAAACGCCTTGAACCTGGTCCACTGGCCAGCACTGGTCTGCTTTTGCACCAGCATAATCTTCAAAACCTTATCCTTGAGATATGCCTCCAGGAAAAAAATCAGTGATCTCAGACTCCTTGAGGGGCAAGGAGAAGAGATAGATCTCCTCTGGAGACTTCATCTTCAAGTCCTTGACTAGGAAGCCCAGCATGGTGATGGGCAACCACTGCTTGTCCTTGGCCTTGCCTCCGTGAGCTCCGCTGCCCCAGCCCCGGCCGGGGCTGCAACCCTGGCCCCTAGTGCCACTGCCAAGTCCTCCACGGAAGCAGCGGCAGCCTCATTCCAGGGCCCCCAGGGGCTCCGGCCCCTTCCGCTGCAGTGGCGTCATCCGCTATTTGGTGTTTTCTTGGAGAAGAAGTATTGTTGAGTTTTAAGAGTTCTTTGTGTGTTCTCTATACAAGTTCCTTATGAGATATGTGATTTGCAAATATTTTTCTCCCATCCTGTGTGTTGTCTTTTCACTTTCTTAGTGACTACATCTGTGTATCTTGTAACCTTATCCTTCAAGGCATTGTGTCTTCCAGACTCTTCTAGTCTGAGTTAGTTCCAGCTCTTCTTTCCATAGTTTCCTGTTGCATTCCTGTTATTACAGCACTGAACACGTTGCGTTGATGTGATCAGTCTAGGATTTATCTTCCTTACCAGACGGAGCTGCGGCTACTTGAATCACCAATGCCTAGGACCCTGCCTAACACAAAATGGGAGCTCAATAATTGTTTGTTCAACTAAACTAAAATGACCCTTGAGTCTGAAAAAAAATGATCCCGGTCAATACTAATCTAAGAAAGCTAATAGAAGGGGCCTTAATAGACTGTCAAAGAATCTGGGGGTGGGAGGGAAATTGCAATCTCTTGTACAGAAATAAGGCTCACAATTTTTCTAGAAAGCACCTCTTCAAGTTTTGCTTTCACCAGTGCCAGCCCTAATGATTCTGTAGGACGCGTGATGACAGCGCTTCTCTGGGCTGCAGCCATCTGCGGTCTCGTCGCAGGATTCATGCAGTGCGGGGCCCAGGGCTCCACAGGCTTCTTTGATCTGTTCTGAGCAGCAGGCCAAAATTTATGTCACCAAGCATTTCTTTTACTCATTTATTTGTTTATTAAAAAATCCTTTAAATTCTTTGGTGCCATATAAGGTTAGCAAAATGATATTATTAAATATCAGTAAGATAGCCATGCCATTTGTGCAGGGAGGTGACCCACTATATCGTGCTGCCCTGTAGTGCTGGTGTCGTATAAGGAATCTAAAGGTTTCCTCTTCCTCTCAAGATATTTCTTATAGTAATACTTTTCTATTGATTGTTTTTAAATGATCTTTTTTATGATCCTTCCCTCATTTGTCCTAAACTTTTGTAAACTGAAGCAGTAAATGGCTTCTCCTCCATTTTGTGGAGCATATTTTCTCACAAGGACATTCTAGGTGCTGTCTCTGTCCATTTTCACTATTGTTGAAAATGCTGCAGGTGTCCTATTTTGATTGGAAAATTACAGATAACATAAAGTAACAGTTACTCTCTGTAAAAGGAAGATGAGGATTTAATTGTCTAAATACGGTCCTTCTCAGAACTCCGTTGTTCTTGATTTTAAATCCTGATGGACACAAGTAAGAGACTATTTTAAAATGAGATCCAAGAAGGAAGCCCATATAATTTTTGTGTGCCTGTGATGAGATTTGAGATTTGTGCTCTCAGCCACTTTTATTTTTTATTTGGCACTAAGGCAGCTTAAAAAAAAAGCAGACAAAACTAGTTGACAGCCTAAGATGAATGATTTATTTTCTCTTAGCACAGCAAGATGTGCTAAAATTACTTCATCTTAAAAGACTTACTGGGATTCCTGAATGAGAAATACCCCCACCCTTGATATTTTTTCCTTTATGAAACAAAAATAGCTCTATTTTTGGGAGAGAGAGTTTGGCAGACATGCTGATTATAATCCGGTATTGGAAAACACTTACTTTGATTGACTAAAAACCAGATGCTGTTCATGGTAGTTAAAAGCCTATAATAATGTGTTCACTCTGGTGTTCACCACACTTCTGTAAGATTAACAAGATCCTCCAATCTAGAGGTGGAGAAACCAGGAGAGGACGCTGGAGAAGGGCTTCCCTACCTTTCCTAGGGCTCCCCAGAAACAGCATTGCCTGGAGCACGACCTTATTGAGGACAGAGATCTTGTTTCATTAGCTGTTGTGTCTTCTTTGCCGGGATATAGGCCTATCACAGTAAGGTGCTCAAACAAATATTTGGTGGGTAGAAGGAGAATGGGAAGTATTTGATTAGTCAGACTGACAGGTCAGGTTGGCGGTCCCCATGGGTACCACTTACTAGCTGAAGTCCTTAGATAAAGTATTTAATCTCCTTAAACTTCAGTTTATTCTTTGCAAAGGGGGATAATACCATTACCTACTTCTTTAGGTACAGAATAGTAAACATTGGATTATTATTAGATGTTATTAAATTGAGCAAATTTCCTGACTTCCCATTCGAAACTTGACTGCCCTGATATTAATGAATTTGGTTAAATAAACATGGTCAAGTTTATGCGTATATATCGCCAGTGAAGTCCTTCTCTATTGAAGAGGAATAATGGGAAGAAATCGAAGAGGCGTTATTTGGACTTTGATTTCTACGAACTCTACTGAATTAGATTTGACCCTCACTTTTAGGGAATTATGCACCGACACTGGGGAAGATGAAATGCAGAAGTTTTCCAGCCTGATATTCTTGTCTTTGGAGGTTGGCCCTAGTTCTTAGAACAAAAACAAGTCAGTAGTTATTAGTTACTGTATCTCATTTTCCAAAACACACATGTTTCTTTGTTACAGTCATTTACAGATACTTTTGCATGCCACATTTTTGCTTTGGTGCTCTTGCTAAAACACTAAATGACTAACCTTCATGTTCCTAATGTATTTAAATTGTCAAAGGAATCTTTTAGGATTATATGTGCTGATAAGGGTGTTAAGTTTGAACAATGTGTAAAAAGTGAAGGCCAAGTGAAGAGACCTTGACGTTGTGAACAGAATAATAAAGTGGACTCTGAGGATTGCCCTGTTACGAAGGGATTATTGGATATAGAAAGAAGTTATTTTTAGACACGGCATCCCTATAAGCCCTGAAGCTATGTGTTTTACAAACTAGAAATTTATGCACTAAATAAAAATTAACAGATGTCAGTCTCTACATGTGCCAACTGGCAAATGTGTAGTGGGTCAGAGTCTGGAAGAAATGATACCCATTTCTTTGCCATTCGACTCAAAAGGGATAGTTAAGGTAAAATGCTGTTGAAAAAATTACAGTGTTCTCAGCTAAAGTTGTCACATGTTATGAATTGTTATCTGAAAGGCTTTAATTTTTTTCTCTTCATGACTGCATGCGTGTTTGTGGCATTACAAATGTAACCCACATTTCTATTCTAATTTATTACATTCTTTCCCGAGGCTTGTCTTGTTCTTTTAAAGGGTAAGCAGATATCTCATTTAAAGAACCAAACTGTACACAGTATTCTATTAATAATAAATGTCCAATACAGAGCTAAATATGTAATAGGATTCGTGACTTCTATCTTGCACATACCAGTAAAACTCAGTAATTTTCATGAAATGATCAGATGAGTTCTCTTCTCTTCTTAGAAATTCGAGCTCAACTGGTAGAACAACAAAAATGCCTGGAGCAGCAAACGGAGATGCGAGTTCAGCTTCTCCAGGACCTGCAAGATTTCTTCCGGAAAAAAGCCGAGATTGAGACGGAATATTCTCGGAACCTAGAGAAGTTAGCGGAAAGGTTCATGGCCAAAACAAGAAGCACTAAGGATCATCAACAGTACAAGTAAGAGAGACTTGACTCAAATTCACCTTTCCAAGGTGATAGCCTCCCTTTTGCCACCCTTATTGGTTTTAGATTTTTCCATTTTTTTGTCTGAGAAGCAATTGGTGGACACAGTCCCATAAATAAAAGCAACCTCCTAGATTTATAATTTATGCTCATCAATCTGTCATTTTAAATCAATAGTATTCTCTTGACATTTTTCTCATTCTCATATATATATGGATAACTTTATATATAAGAAGAGAAGGTGTGTGTGAAATTCTTGATTACAGAAAACGGGGAGTTGATATCTGCCCAGGTAGGGTAGATTTAAAATAGCTGCTTCTTCGAGCAAAGACCTCAGGATTTCTGTAGTGATTTTATATGAAAATAAGCAATAAGGGTTTCTTGGGTTTAGTGTCCATTGCACCCCCCACCCCATCATGTCTGTGATCATTGCAATTGAGACTGATTTAAAACAAGGATATTTAGTAAAATGCTTATGAGTGAGCATAATTAAACCTTACATTAATTGTAATTTATTTGTTTAAAAAATACTTACAGACTGTTCTGATAATCAAATTTACTTTATAATTTAAATCCTAGAGACAGAGAGAGACAAGTAAGGAGACAACTTTAGTGAAGTGTACAAGTGCTCCAGGACAGACCTGGCTGAAAGCTGTTCTATGGTGGAGTTGGGGAGGGGAAGGTCAAGGGAAGGTCTTAGAAGAGGTGATTCCTAAGCAAAGACCTGAAGGACTAGTTGGCCAGTAAAGGGGAGCAAAGGGGATATTCCAGGCGAGGGGAACATCATGGGTTAGGAGCCATCAGGGAAGGGGTGTAGGGCAGGTTTGCAGAACAGAAGTCGTCCAGTGGGAGCGAGTAGTGAGCTGGTGAGCAGTATGGTTGCAGGTGTAAATTGGAGTAGGTCATGGAGGCCTGTGGATCTTCCTGGGCAGTTTGGACTTTATCCTGAAGGCATGAGAAGCCTTTAGAGCATTTTAAGTAGAAGAATGGCCTGGTGACACGTGCATTTTAAAATGGTAACAAAGACTGGCTGAGCACCCTGGCTCATGCCTATAAAACCAGCACTTTGGGAGGCTGAGGTGGGAGGATCGCTTGAGGCCAGGAATTCAAGTCCAGCCTGTCAACATAGTGAGACCCTGTCTCTTAAAAAAAAAAAAAATGATGACAAAGACCATAGATAGGATTGTGGACTAGAGGAAGACAGAGTAGAGGAGATAGACTGTATGCGGGCTCTCGCATTGATGGCATGAACTAGCAACACTGCAGGCAGAGAGAAGTAGACCTGTTTGCGAGACAGTAAAAAGACAGCACAGACTTTCATTTCTGGAAACACAAGCAGACCAGACAGATGACCTGAAAAACATGTCTGCCACAAAACTCCCAGAAATGCTGGTTAAATATATAATGGACACTATTTTAAATGTATAACTGAACTCACAGGAAAGTAAGGGAAATTTCCAGGAGCCAAAAAAGGAAGATGGAACTGAAAACCTAAGTGGCAGTTGTATCTGCCCTTTAAACCCACGTGAGACAGAAGATGAGGTCTGTGCAAGGTAAAGACTTGGAACAGAGGGCTTCCCCACCGCCAACACCACTGCATTGCATTCTAGGACCAAAACAGCTGCTGTCTCAGTGAAACGGTAAAACAGAAAACTATTAATATCTACCCACCTGCACAGGGCACGATAAGGAGACCTGTCTGCTCAGCTTGGGCTCCACATTGGAAGGGGCTGTTGAGAAGCATGTCTTTGCCTTGCTTCACCCTTGGCTTTGCAGTTTCATTTTACATGGCTCCGTGACCTTGGATCCTATATAAAAAGTAGGGTGGGAACTCTCCCTGGGGTACTTTTGCAGAAGCAAATGCAAAACTATTTTGGATAAAGAATACCTTTCTCTCTCTCCCCCGCCACCCCGCCCCACTCTTGGATGCCTTTAACCTTTAGTATTTGTCCAGCATAGAAATAAATCTTAATGAAGATTCCCAGGGTGAACAAATGTGAAATGTACTTGACAGAGACTAGGGCTGGAAAGAGGGGACTGGAGCCAGTACTGTACTCACATTTATAGTAACTGTTCCTTTTTAAAAGCAATTGCAAATAAGAAGACAGCCCATTCATCTACTCCACAGATATTTTTAGTGTCGTCTTCTGTGTTTTGCACTTGGTAGTTGGTTGTGAACTGAGAATATGGATGGGTCCAGGAACCTTAGTCTGGCCCCTCAGTAGATCGAAGCCACTTTTTGTTTCTCCTGGTTTGTTTAGTAGTTTTCTTCAAAAGGTGAGCAGTTTGAAATTTTCTTTTACTTAAGTTTATTATTGAATAAGATGAATGAGAAGTCTGTGGCAAGGATAACCCAGGATTAAGAAAAACACAAAGACATGCTTTATTAAGGAGTCAGCCAGACCTGAATATATTAATAAAGACTGGCTCCACTGTGTGGTTTTTGGTCAAGTCACTTAACCTCTCTGAGCCTTGGCTTCCTAACTTGTAAAATGAGGTTTTATGACCATTGAGTGAGAAACATGGCAAAGTCCTTAATATGATTGATAGCTGGCATGGAGTATATACTCAATATTCCTCCTCTTTACCAAACCAATGTTATATTTTCAGCAGGATAATGTCACCAATCATTTAAGCTCAACTATGGAGTCTAGCTCTTGTTTAGTTTGGGGATGCTTATTGTGTAGAGCAATCCTTGGCCCAAAGTTGCCACTGTACAGTGGAAAGACCAAGGCTTGGTTGAGCCTCTCGGGACCCAAAGACTGTCCGACGCTAGCTGTGGTCTTTATCAAATCATTGTGCCTTGCTAAGCTTCGCTTCTCTCATTGATAGAAAGGATACAAAGAATCTCTGCCTTAAATGGCAGTGGTAAGGATTAAGTAGATTTAATGTCTGTAAAGTCTTTAGAGCAGCCCCTGGATAAAAATAGCTAACTTTATATAGCACTTCCTATGTGCCCAAGACATCATTGTAAGGATTTGAAAATATATATCAACTCAAATAATCTTCATAATAATCTTATGAGATAAGTGCTATTGTTTTACCCATTCTACAAAGTAGCCGAAGCACGAAGCGGTTAAAATAATTTGCCCAAAGTCACATGACTCATAAATATATCGCTCTGGGATATGAACCTAGACAGTATAGCTGCAGAGTCCACATTCTTGACCTGCATACCCCTTCTCACAGAAGGTGCTCAATGACTGATAGCTGCTATTATTATTATTGATGTTAGTATTATTACTACTACTATTAAGGGAATAATAATAGTATGTTTATTCAATGAATAAAATAACACACAACGCTTACTATGGGGCAGGGCACTGAGGTTACAAAGACGTATGAAATGTTCTCAAAGAATGTGTGGGCTACTGCAGCATAAAAGATGTACATAAAAGTTAATGTAAATTAGGTAACATTTACCTCTGCAGCTGCTGGATGGAGAATGTCAGTAGAAAAGCTCCAATTACCTACTGTAGAACCACTGCCCCTTGCCTGATGGCTTTGAGAAAAAAGGGCGTCCCCAGGTGGAGGGTGTAATTCGTAGTGTCCCAGTGGGGAGGGTGGGAGGTTGCTCCGATGGGTGCAAGTGCTAAGACCCTAGAGCCGGCATTTCTTCCTCTACGCCCATTCCTGCTTTCGTCCTCTACTTTCTTTGTCTTCTGGAGAGGGTTTTCACTTGATGCAGTATTAAATCCTGAATCTGGGAGACTTAAAGGCAGAAAGACCTAACTTAATCATTTCTTTCTTGACTTAATTAATGATTAGGGTCATAAATCATAATAGGAGGATAACACATCTGCTTAAATGGCACTTGTGTCCTTGTGTTAGGATAAACATTCTATGCCATTTTGCCATTTTACAATTAGTTTTTAAAGTAAAAAAAAAAAACAAAATTTAAAAAAATTGCACTTTATTTTTTTTTAAGTAGTAACGTCCCAGTCGCTCGCTGTTTTTGTTTGTAGTTTTTCTTTAAGATTTTGTAAAAGTCTTCTTTTGTGGTCCATTTTCACTTTTAGCTTTATTATCTAGAATAGAGTAAGGAGCAGTTATAAATATGAAATAGTTTAATGGGTTTCAACAGGACATGTGACAAGTCATAAGCCAGCAAACTTCTTGGTTCTATTTATGAGCCTTGAGATGACACAATAAAGTTCTGATTCCCAGGAATACTTTTTGGGAGGCTGGAAGTTATGTATCAGAGGATTAATAAATAACCCTCAAATTTATGTTCCATGGAAAGCATAAACTAGCCAAATTTCTTTTCCAGCAACAGACTGAACCTTCAAAGCAGACTTTGTGTGCTGTGGCTAACCACAGTCTGTCTGAGACAGTAGTCAATAGATTTTTATGTAAACATAAATTGCTTTCTTCAATGGGGTGTTTAAAGCTGCAGGCCTGCCTAAGCACTCTGTGTGTAGGGTCCCATGGCCCTTGTCAGGAATGTGGTTTTCACCAGTGTTCTCGGTCCAGATTTTTCCTTCCAAGCCTGGAGAATTGCTGGCTCTGTGCCATGCATAGGCAGGAAGGCTGATCTTCTGGCTGTCAAGTGTCCTGGTCTGAGCAATGCTCAGAGCAGAAAGAATAGTGACAATATCCATCTGTTGTGGCTCCTTCATTTGCCATGGTGACTTTGCTCAGTTGATTGGGACAGCTTTGAAATTGATGGTAATTCTGTCTTCCTTCACTACTTAGGAAAGACCAGAACCTGTTGTCTCCAGTGAATTGCTGGTATTTGCTCCTGAACCAAGTGAGGAGAGAAAGCAAAGACCATGCCACCTTGAGTGACATCTATCTGAACAATGTGATTATGCGGTTCATGCAGATCAGTGAGGATTCCACCAGGATGTTTAAAAAGGTACACTCCATAAACTCCACTACTCCTTGTGCTTTCTGGTAACTGCTTTGCCTATAACCGAAACTGAGAACAGTGTCTCAAAAAAATTAGGTGAATGAACATTTTAAAGACACAGAATAAAAAGTTAAACCTGAACAGGCATACTTACACAGAGTATACCTCAGCGAATCTGTGAGCTGAACAATGTGAGCAAAATTTTGAAATACGGTGTACCTGCAAGTTGCACCTCTGTCCTTAGGAAACAGACCGCCTGCACTTATGAAAAATCAGAGCAGAGAGGAAAAGCTTCGAATTCTGTGTTTCGAGCTCACACATGATCAGACACTTGTGAAGAACGAGATTACCATATGTGCTGCTCTCTCAGAAAAATATTACTGCAATTTTTTCTTGCTCTCACCAGACCGGCAGCAGAGGCTGTGAGAGAGCGACATGAAGAAAATTCCACAGGACACAGAAAATGCAGTCCCTTGCACACCAGAGAGCTTCTTCCTTACCAAGTCCGTTAAAAAATAAGAACTGGGATTTTAAGGCTTCTTATCATCATTGCTTGTCTCTGCCAACTCTCAGCAATTTTTTTTTTTGTTTGGACGTTTTTGTTGAGAACAATAATAAAATTGGACCATTTCCTGTGCAGAGAATGCAGCTACTTGCCCAGTAAGACTGGCTTTTGTTTTTCATGCTTGTAGGATGAGGTCCCCCGGCCCCCACCCCCTCAGCTTTGTACTAGTAGTTAGTGTTGGTTGCCTGTACCTATTCCTGTACCTCTATTTACTAAGTAGTTATTAGTTTCAGAAAGTGGGGGAAGTGGAACAAACACCCTGTAGATTACTAACATATTTATGTTTCAAAGGGGCCCCTTAAAACAAGGACATAGTGTTAAGCAGGCCAGCTGGAAAACTTCTTAGTCATGTTTGATGTATCCACATTAGATTTGATTGCTGACCTAGAAATGGAATTTAGCAAGCTCTAAGTCATCTTGTGCTCAATTAAATAGAAACAAAAATTTTTTTCAAAGAAAGGAGAGATTTTAACAATTGGAACCAAGGGGCATGTTAATTAAGAAGATAATACATAAAGAAATATCCTATGTGTCTTAAATAATAGAGCTTTAAAAAAATAGTTTAGACTGAGCCGTGAAAGTGAAGTAACTTTCTGGTACATCAGCCCTTTCTGCAGAGACCTCATGTGGTTCAGGGGGTTTTTCTGAGCATCTCTTAGGAGCAGGAGACCATGTTGATAGGTGTTGGAAAAGCTATAAACATGAAGAGTTCTCGTGCTCCAGGAGGTCTCAGTTTATCCAAATTTGGATGGCACTGTATGATGCCTCTGGGACCAGCACTTCATTTGTTTATCCATTCAACAAAACATCTTTACAATGTCTGACTGGGGAAGCAGAGTTAAAAGACATGTCTCTGCCTGCAAGGAGCTCATTACAATAATTAATGGTTACCATGCTAAAGGGATGCACAACCCACTGTGGGAGCTGGAAGGCTGGAGGTCTTAACTCTACCTAGGGGTCAGGAAAGTCTCCACAGAAAAGGGAACACTTGAAGTGAGACTTGTAGGACAAGGAGGTGCTCACCAAGCAGAGAAGGACAACGAGCTCTTCCAGGGAAAGCGAAAGCATGCCATGTTCAGGGAAAAGAAAGAGTTCAGGGAACAGAGATTGTAGGGGAGAGGGTGATAGAAAGGATGGGCAGATCAGAAAGGACTTTGTAGTCTTGCTAAGTTTTATGGACATGTATTTGGTAAGTCAAAGGCAAGGACTTGATAAGGTTGATAGAAATCTAGGGCTAAGAGTCAGATAGATTTGGATTTGAATCCCAGCTCTTCTGCTTGCTTGTTTTTTGATCTTGGGAGATCGTTCAAAAGATCCAAGAGAGTGCTCTCCAATCCAGAAGGGAGTGAGAAAGGCAAGATTGGACAGAGGGAGAGGCTGAACCTGTGGGAGCGCTGGGGCTGGGATGGCCTTTGGGCTGGTGTTACATCCAAGCGAGTAGGCCTGGCTTTTGTTTTGCAGTCAATAGATTTGGGCTGCTCTTGGGGAAGGATTAAGTAATCTTCGGATGAGGCAGTTCCCTTTGGTGGAGGGTAATTCCTAAGGGTAATTCCCAGAGAGGGATCATCTGTGAGTTGCAACAGCCAGCAGCCAATATCCCCAGTAGTTGGGAGAATGATTTCCTGGCTCTTGAAGAGAGGTCTGGGAAATGCAGAGTGAACACACACACACACACACACACACACACACACACACACACACACACACACACAGAGATATGCCTGCTTATTTGCTACCTAAGAGTTCTCTTATCTAGATTTTCTGGGACTCAAAGAAGTACAGTCCTTGGAAACTGCTTATTAACAGTGGATTCCTGGCTACTTTGGTGTTAAGCAGGGTGGATGCTCCATGCTTTGTGAACAGCCTTCTCTCTCTTAACCGTTCTTGGCCAGCTGGAAGGGTAATAGTGATTATAGTTACAGGTATCAAATTCCACCTACCTCAACTGAACACAGTGACTACACACCTCACCTTTCCCTCTGTGTTATTGCTGGAAGGAGAAAGAACAAGAGAGGCCAAGGGCTTACTGTGCAGCCAGATCAACCCACTAAGACACATTTGTCATCGAAAGAACAGGAAGCCAGAACCTGTATCTAATCAAGTCCAAAGAATTTCAGGTCCCCTTAGAATAGAAAGCAAGACTAGTCTTTTCTGCCTTTTTTTTTTTTCCATCACCAACCTTCCCCTTCTCCAGCTCTTCTTTCATTGTTGTGGTTCTCGGTTAGAAGCCTACTTTCTGTCAAAATGGAAAGAAATCATCAGAGTCGATCCGAGGCAGCCTTTAGAACTGCTGTGGAGTCCTTAGTGAGTTAATGCTTATCTTTCTTGGGAGAAGATTTTGACACCTCCTCATTTTTCAAACATATCCCCATGTCTGTGCTGAGATCCAGATAGGTGCTGTGTGCTTGATACTGTAGTTTGGGCCTCTTAAACAGCTGTATCTTACTCAATTTAGTCAATGGCAGAAAATCCTTTTCCACAAACTGTTCTGTCAAATAAAAAGTTTGGAGCAGGCAATTCCAGGAATGTTTTTGTATCCAAATGGATATAGTCATCAAGAAGACATGTGTAGGAATACCTAATTCCATGCATAGTTATAGGGAACAGCTTCAAGACTTAAATCTTAATTACAACAGAACCAGTTATAGACATAGGTGCCTAAGCTTGACAGAAAGTTTTCAACGGGTAGAAAAAGAGAAGGTTTTTAAGAACAACAACAATATCCAATTTTTCAAATATTGTATATTTCAGATTTAGACCTTTAAAACTCTAAATGAAGCCCATTGGTCAGAATAGCATAGCAATTCAGCTTTTAGGCTCTGAAATCAGATATTCTGGCTATGAACCTTGGCTTTGCTGCTGTTAGTAGCTACGTGGACATAGAAGTATTTGTAAACCTAAGTAAGCCTCAGTTTCTGCATCTATAAAGTGTGTATAATAACCTATTAATGTAATAAACTATTCCAGATAGTTGTGTAGAGGATTCATGAGTTATACATGGAAAGCAACTTATTCCAGTTCCTGGACTTAATAAGTTGTAAGTAACTTTTAGCTAGTATCTTTATTATCTGTATTGTGAACACTTATCCCGTATACCTGCCATAATTACAGAATGTGAGATTATACCAGATATTATATTAAATATATCTTCACTCTTAGGAGACTATATGGCACATATATATGTGAAAAACACCTCCAGATGATCATATTTTATCACTTATTATTATGAAGTTCCAAACCATATCTATATGACTTTGACAGATGTCCTCATAGCATCATTGCTTTGTAGCTGAATTAATGCATTTCTTCATTCATTTGACAAAAAATTATTTAATTCCAGACCCTCCATTAGGTGTCGACAATGTAAACATAGACAGGAGAGGACTCTGTTTTTACCTTCTTAAGTTCTGCTTGGCCATCTCAGGAGAGAGTCAGAATTTGGGAACTCCTCGGACACAAGGTCTTATTTCATTATCAACCCTCACTTCTTTCCCAAAGAACAAGGGCTGCTGTGCCTCTTGCCCCGTTCTCCAGCCCTGCCTCCCGCAGTCATGAGATTTTGCCTCCTTGTTTCCATTACTCATGCTGAAAGAGGGTGCTCTGCAGCTGGTTTGGTGCTGCAGCCAGAAAATGTGCCGTTCATATGCTGCGCATAAAAATGTAATTAATGTCAGCAGTCACCGTTGCAGGGCAGGCTACAGCCAGCTTGCAATAATCACTTTAGTTAAGCAACTAATCAAAATATCGCATTTACCAATTTTAAGAACGTTAATGGAAGTATGTAGTTTAGAGGGAATACCATAAAAATGGTGGGATTTAAATATATTAAATTATCTCTGTGTTTTAAATTATCTTGAATTCTGTCATTTCCCCATGAATAATTTTTAAATTATTAATATGTTTTTGTCCTTCCTTGGTTTGCATAAATACTCGTACAAGTATAATTTATTTTGTTTCTTCACTAATAATAATGATATTTGGAAGCTCCCACTTGCTGAGCTTTAACTGTGCACCAAGCACTGTCCTCGCTCAGACATCCTCACAGCTGCCCAGTGAGCAGATACTATAACCCACACTTCAGGGACAAGGAAACAAAATGCTCGTGGATGAAAGTTGCAGAGCCAGGCTGACTAGTATGTATTCTTGCCTTTGCCCCTATGTCTTAGTTCATAGCTACTGTAGACTCTGTTGGTATTTTTTGGTGGTAATTGGAGAGGTCACTCAATGCATGGGGTCAGAAACTTCTGAGAAATAAAACAGCTTGGTTCTTGGCACTATTCATTTCTTATGAAAATCCTGAATAATGATATTCCTGAGACAAGGCAGCACAATCTGTCAATCATCCAAGTTCCAGGGAGGAGCCCAAAGCAGCAGAGACTCACCCCGAGCCACTGAGAATAATCCCCCTTTGCCATAAGTGCCACAGGTTATCAGAATCCCA